TTTTTTTTGATATCATGATTTTGGCCTTATGATTGTATGGAATAGCAGGGTCCTATGGTTTCTTGCGAAGGGATTGTTGGGCAGGATGCAATTCAGGGAGGGTGCAAGAGAAGTGTTAGTGGTGATGATACTGCCAAGAGAACTGGTTACACTACAATGCCAAAAGAGGTGCATGTACCAGTGGATGTTGAGTCCGCATTTGGGGTTAGATTTCTGTGTTCATATTTCTGGGAATGGACTAATAATTGATCTGTCCAGTGATTTAGTTTTTTTCCAAGATGTTTTTGGGTCACTAACATTTCCCTTTGGTGTGATTTTATATGTGACGTTGATTGTGTACAGGGGTCGAGCGGTTCGAACAAAGGGAATCTTGGGCAGCACATCGATGGTGCCAAGCGTAAACGTAGCTTGGATGACGATGATTTTGAAAGATTTTTTACTAGCAGCCGGGTGGGAAGTGGGGAGCATGGAGTGAATGGTGCTCGAGATGCTTTGGTGGTTAGTGTGTTTGCAATATTAATAGTGGGAATGTTTACTTGTCTATTTAGGATGATGAATTCCATTACTTGGCAGAATGATGTTATGGCATTGTGTAGTGTCCTATATGGTGTTTTTTATCCTGTTACGGGTGTGGTTCTATTGTTTGTTCAGGTGTTTTCCAAAGGTTCAGATTCCATTACTGCATGTGTTGAGATTGATCGGCCCAAAAGGGTTCACAAGAATCCGGAGAGATATACTCCCACAGAAGTCGAGCATGATAAGGAAAAGCGGAAACTGGAGAGGATGGAGCGTGCTAAGCAACATATGGAACGTGTTAGGTTGGAGGTATGCCATGGGCCCTTTTCAAAAGATCCAATGGCGATGCCTGCGGATGTGGAAATACAAAAGGTGAGAGAGTTTTTGAATGAAGAACTGCTGAAAAGGCATGGAAGGGGGAACAGGACATGTCGGTATACAAGTAAGGAGGAGAACTTGACGAAAAGTCCGATTGTCCTTGATGGTTTTAAAGTGGAGAACAAAACATGGGTCTATGAATTGTTTACAAACACAGAGTGGTTGCGCAGCACGGTATGATTTAAATTTTGTTTTTTTATGGTTGTTTGTTCTGAGAACGTATGTGAAATAGTCTGTTGGGGGGGGGTGTGGTTCGTTTTAATGTCAGGGGCATTGGGGGGGGTTGTAGAATTTTGGACCCTTCCAATGACAAGACATGTGGGTTTGGGTTTTTTTTTGGAGTGCTGAATTTTGTGCGGTGTGTTTTTATACAGCATGTTGAAATAGCAATGCATTTCCTGGAAGTGAAAGGTAGGCAGTATAACCTCTTGCAGATGTACACAACTACAACCCCCATACTTCTTGCAAGGGTTTGTGTAATCATCAACAAAAGGTAAATGTTGGCAAGGCCAAAAAGGAGGAAGTTGTCAATAATCGGAATCTAAGCAGTGAGGTGCTGGGGTTGGCACGAGAATATTCTAGGCCATGGTCTGAGTGTGATTTTGTGTATATGCCCCTAAATACGAGTGACCACTGGATTTTGCTTGTCCTAGAGGTTGAAGGGAGGACAATACGGGTATACGATTCAAAAGGAAGGAAGGGAAAGAGTTCCCGGGCATTGAACGAATACGTGGAATGTATGACAGAGTTGCTGCCTGTCCTGCTTGATTTGTTGAGTGTATATGATGAGCACTCCGATGGCCCAATGGGGAAAAAGAAGTTCAATATCAAGGTCGTTGATGAGTGTCCGCAACAAGATGACGGGTATGTGGTACATTTAATTTGTAACATATCGTCTGAAGTTGCATTTCAAATTCATTGAAACTAGCCGGATGATCAATGATATTAAGAATGGTGTTTTAAACTGCAGGTGTAACTGTGGGATGTTTATGTTGAAGCTTGCAGAATATCTAATGATGGATAGAGAAATTTCTGAAGTTCATGCACGCGACATGGTATACAGTAATGAGCTGAAAGAGAAGGCCGAAGACAAATAGGATTATCGTGTGAAATTATTTGGAATAATTCTGCATGGTGTGGACAGTTTTTTGGTTTGGGATGGGGGCAATTTGTGGTATGTGGTGCATCCGCATTTGAAGTGTGATGTTGTTTTTTGTTGAATGGTTGGTACAGTATTTGTGTCGTTTAGATTAGTTGTTTTTTCATCTTTTAATATTTAGTTAGTCAGATATTGTGATGTGTAGTCCTTGTTATAGACTACGAACGGTTGGTGTTTGTGTGTGGTTGTTACTTTAGTTTTGGTATTGTGTGATTGCAGTATTGGTTATTAGTGATTTGTTCATGTTTATCGTTTGGTTTGTTGGTCCATTATTGTTCCTTATTGAAGTGTTGGTTGATTGGTAATGTTAGATCAGGTTACACTATCTTTTGTGTTGCTTGGAGAATGATATGTGTGAGAAGCTTTCCCCGTGTAGACTGGGCAGTGTGGGGAGTGTTGCACTTCGTTTTTTGTAATTGTGCTTGGGCAGTTTGTTGTATAGTTTCATGATTCTGTTTGTGTTTGTTGTTTTGGCCCGATATATATGTGGGGTACGTAAGGAATGTATTCAACCCCCGCTGGATATGTCTTGGTATTAGCATGTCAAGTTTGATTTTTTGATGTGGATGTTTTCTGTACCGTGTTCTCCTAGACATCGGGTTGGGTATTTAAGGCAGTATATGGCTTTGGCTCCTTTGCTGGCAATGTGTTGCATGGTAGGTTTGTGAGCTGTGTATTCACTGCCATTGTTTGATTGTGGTGTTTTTTGGCAGTAGGAGTTATTGGAATGGGATAACGGCAGTGTATGTTTGCTACTCGTGAGGTCGCGTATCATTGTTTGTTTGGAAGTACATGAAAATGTGGCTTTTTTTCCCTGCTTATATTGTTTGGCAGTATACATTTTCATGTTTTTCAACCGTGATTTTGGCGGGGTTTTGTTTTCTAGCTTTTTTAGGATGTGTGTGTGTTGTGTTAAGTGTGTGTTGTGTTGAGTGGTGATATGTGTGTGTTGTGTTGAGTGTTTTTTTAGACTTCCCCCGTAGAGGGTATTGTATGAGGCATGTGTTTTCACTGCCATTGTGTGATTGTGGGTTTTTTGGCAGTATGATTGAATGGAATGGGCTAACGGCAAAGTTTGATTGTAAGTACAGGGCAATGTGTTTGTTTGGCTGCCGTTATTGGTTGATTTGGGATACACAGCCAGCATTATGACATTGTAGTAGGTTTTTCAGTATTCATTTTCAGGTTTAGAGAATTAAAACACAATGGCGCCAAGAAAATTATTTGTCTACTCAATCATGGTATTTTAAAGAAAGTGTTATTTATCTTATGGCTAGTGGAAGGAAATTTGACATTCAACGCATTCATGCAAAAAAAATACAGCAATTGTCATGTTGGTATTGGGTTTTTGCATGTTTTTATGTTGTGTCCCATCTTCAAGCACCTGGTGCACTTCTGTTTTTTCCGACCTTTGCCCATGTGGAATTCACCAACAGATGGCAGCCTCCGTTTCTTTGGCCTCCCAGGTGGGCGTTTGTTGCATGATGGGGGCTTGCAAACAAGGGCTTTGACAGCCGGCGGGATGTACCAGGTAGATTGGTCGCCTAATGGGTGCAGAATACCGCTGTAGGTGGCTACCAATGATTCGCGTTTGTAGTAAGTTGAGATGAAATTGTAACATGACAGTCCTGGACGAGATCCAATCGCTGCTACGGCATGGACACATACAAACTGGTCCAATTGAAAATCACCGCATGTACACGACTTGTCTCTGAGGTTAACAACGAAAGTCCGGGACCACCTGTCAACAACCTCAAACTCGTATTGGGAAGCTGGCTTAACTTGTTGAAATAAGGATTGTTAACAGTGAAACGTTACATGAAATGAAACTGTATCAGTTTTTTTTTAAATGCGTATAGTGTTTAGGTGGTTTTGGAAGGAATACCTTCATCCTGAATGCATCACGTTGTAGTGAAATTAGGCCCGACTCGAGCTTCCTTGGTAGAATGGTTGTGGTAGATGATGCTGTTTCAAACCGTTCATGAAACCATTTCTGCATCCTTTCGCGAATGAAATCGACTAGCTTGCAAACGGGGTATTCGCGGGCCGAGTTGTTGACATTGTTCATTGATTCTGCAGCGTTTGAAGTCATTACGGAGTACCGGTATGGCCCGCTCTTACAACGTGCCCATCGCGTCTGACCTATTTTGGATAAGTATGCACGTATTCTATGGTCTTGTCCATCCAGCATTTGAAGATAATCCTCGCACTCTGCCTCAGTAGCTGCACGTGATGCTTTCCTAAACTTCCAGGACAGGTCTTCTTTAGGACCTTTGAATTTGACACGCAGGTTTCGGGCAATGTGTTCTGTACAGAAACCATGACCTACATTCGGGAATACGTTCTGAACTGCATGAATGATACCCTCGTGGCGGTCAGACACAATATACATATCATGCCTTGTGGTCAGTGTGGTTTTTAAATGAGTAAGAAACCACAACCAAGAGTCCTTGTCTTCTGCATCACAAACACCAAAGGCGATGGGGACAAGCTGTTTATTGGCATCCTGGCAGCAAGCAGTAAGTAGTGTTCCTTTGTAATAGGATTTCATGAATGTCCCATCAATAACGAGAACTGGGGCACAATGATTCCAGGCTTGTTTCCACGGGGCTAAAGAGAAGAACAAATATTTGAATCTCTGGTCGTCAGTCATAGACAAGTGAATGGAGGAGCCTGGGTTCTTTGTCTCCAACATATAACATAGAGATGGTAGTAATTGGTAGGAATCTTCGTCCGAGCCATACAACTTGTTCAATGCCCTCTGTTTCACGAGTAGTGCTTTCCTATATGACATCGCAATGCCAAACTCCCTTCGCATGTCGTCGCGTATGTCATTGGGGGGGTATTGTTTTCAGGTTGCGTCGACATACCGATGGAGGACAAGATCGGCCAAGAATGCTGACGTTGCTTGTCTGTGATCACCTTCCCGGAAATCAACAGGGCACGAATGATATTGATCAAACCTGCTGAAAAAAAAAATCATATGACCGTTGGGAATCGTGATTTTACAGCGAATTGTGGTGTCTAGAGATAGCATTATAGGAATGTGATGTTCTGCATTTTAATAATAATGATGTTTTATAAGTTAGTAGTGCCAGAGTGTGTACTCTGATTTGTGATTTGACTGATATTTTTTGAAAAGCAGTGGATGTTATGGCAGTGTTGTTGTCACATTGAGGCTATGGGGTTTACCCCACTTGCTAATTTGTGCTGTGTATGTGAATAGGTTTAAAAAATGAACTACACGCATGTGATAACATGAAATGATATGGAAGTGATAGTGCACAAATGTGTGGGGGACACTGCCGAAAGATGTTGGTTGCAAAGGCTGTAATTGGTGTGCAGAATTGGAATACAAGCATGCGTAAACTGGTTTTCATATTTAAGTGAATGGAAATAGTGGGTCTGTTTATTATGTTAACATCCAAACATCTTTTAAGAAAAATAGTATTTACCTTCGTATCTGAAATAAGGGAGAGTTGTCTAGACGAACGGCACGAACTGCCCATGGACACCGGTGGTCAACGCAAACAACGTACAGCAATGTCCTATTTGACCTCTTTGTCTTGTACTGAAAATTATTAGACACCGCATACATTCTGAGATGATGGCACAAGTCTTCCTTGGACTTGTAAATGCTGTCAATTTGAAGAGTGGTTGGGTGATAATGTGAAATAACGTCCACCGAATTTGAGGGGAGTCTCCTCCGTTTAGTTCGGTTGGTTCGCTTGGAATAGTTTGAGGGATCAGAATTGGCATTTGAGAATTCATTTNAAAATTAACTCGTTTGGCATTGTTGTGTCATAAGAATTAGTGGAATTGTAACCAGAAAAATCTGATCTTTACCATCTAGAAGGAGCACTGCCTAATTAAATTTGCTTAACGAGAAGCAGGATTAACAATAGCTAAACAATAGATATAAGCAAATTCAGAATGATCCTGACTGACCGGGGTGGGCTATGAGCTGTGAAAGCTTCAGCCGGGCCTCTGCGGAATTCAATTCCAAAGGTGCGATAATCCTGGGATTTGGAATGGTGAAGCCTATTGTGGTACAACCGGCGAAGAAGCAGCCTGCGATCCACTCGTTTTGGGGGGGGGGAATATTGAGGACCATCGTTGGAGCGCGTTATAATCGGAGATGGGATGTAACGGAAGGTGATTAACTCCCTCCTGAAATTGCGCAAGTGAAGGGGAAATGCGGGAAAGTGGAACCCATCAACAACCGCATGTGGAAGATAAAGAACGCAGGGTTAATTTAGGAATATTAGATATATGAAAACCGATGGAGGTGCTAGAAATGTAGAAAATGGAATGGGAGTTCTATATATGTATTTTGTAATACTTGAAGGTGCTATAAGGGATGATTTCTATACGGAGTATGTTAGAAAATAATACTCCTTCCGTTCCACAAAACCCTTCCCCTTTCGTTTTTTTTGAATTCCCTAAAACACTTCCATTTTCTATTAAAAAAGAGTAAATTCTATAATTGGTCCTTTATAACAGGGTGGTTTCCATATTTAGTCCTCTATTATCAAATATTACCCTCGTAGTCCTTTTTTTAAGGGTGCCTTTTCACAAATGGTCCTTTTTTGATCTTCTGGCATGTTGATATTAATTTAAAGGCTAAAAATATAATTTGACGTCAACATTATGTTTAGTGACATATTCTGATATTGGTTAAGCGGATAACATAAAAATAATGACTATGATTGTGGGCTAGGATTCCGACGAAAGACCACATTTTTAGACTATGGTTGTAGTAGAAAACGACTGTAATTCACAAACGATGGAAACGGAATAGCCTTTGGAATTGTGTATGACAAAAAAAATATATTATCATTGCGAAATTACACTTTTAGCCCTCAAATTAACCCCAACATGATAGAAGATCAAAAAAAGGACTATTTGTGGAAAGATACACATAAAAGGACCACTGGTGTAATATCTGATAATAGAGGACTAAACAAGGAAACCCTCCTGTTATAAAGGACCAATTATGGAATTTACTCATTAAAAAAACCACTTTTACCCTTACTTTTTCATACCCTACCTATCACATCATACTTTTTCTCTAATAACCAAACTATCATATCTTACTTTTACCCATCACATTAAGGGTAAAATTGGAAAGTCAACCAAAATTACACTTTTCTTATTTTTGCATAAAGTCAAAAGTGGAAGGGCTTAAAGGAACGAAGAGAGTAATAATAGTATTAGTTATTGTAGTGTTTGATTATAAGTCAACTTCCTATTCTTATTTAAGGTAGATGTTGTATTTTAGTTAGTCTTCATTCTCTATTTCTAGTTGTGTTAAGAGTCTCTTCTATATATATTCTATCATGTACTTCATAATTCAATGAGCAATATTGTTATTCCAATATTTCAACATGGTATCAGAGTCATCGCTCTTGGTGACCTAAAAGAGTTCTTTGCTTCCATCGCCGGCGCCAGTAAATTCGGCGACGAAAACTCCACCCTATTCACCCCTATTTTCTTTTCCTTCTTTTATCCTCAAATCAACTTCCATTCGAAAAAAAAGAAAAAAAAATCTTGGTGAAATCGCACACAAAAAAAAACCATCAAAAGAGGAACTTCTCTCTTGTCCTCTCCATGGTTTTTCAAAAAAAAAAACTCAACTCCTCACAAACTCTCTCAACTCATCCTATCTTCTCAAAAAAAAGAAAAAAAAACTCATTGTTGTTTCTCTCCAATTCACCATATCAAAATCTCGGACCCAAATCTTTCTTCCATCACCAATTCTTAAGCCACTTTTTTCTCTCTCAAATCACTCATTCTAATCATCAACCTCCCTTCTCTTTCTCTTTTGTTGAAACCAATAAAAATCCAAAAAAATAACACAAAAGTGAAGCCAAGAAGGGAAGTAGTGAAAGAGGAAAGAATATCTCTACACCCCTTCAAGAGAGAAATAGGGCATTGCCCGGATCCAAGAAAAAGACAAAAAATGTCAAAGATCTTCAGTCAAACAGGCACCTCCAGTAGCTTTCTCTATTCTTCTTCGACGTCAACAGCTACAAGCGCACGTCAACCTTCTATCTTCTTCTTCGACGTCAACAACTACCAGTGCACGTCAATTTCTCTCTTTCA